AAGAAAACGCATGTGAGGTCTGAGGTAAAAGTGTAGTTTCTGCCCAGATAAACTTTTAAAAATAATGTATTATTTTTCAAACATTTTATTTTAACTTGTTATTTAAAATGTTTTAAGTGCAATGTTAAAATGATGGTAATTTGGGAGGGAGAGAAAGGGCAGAGAGCCCCTCCCCGTGCACTCTCTCTGTATAACTGTCTTTCCTATCCCTCCCTCAAAATCAACTGACATGATGGTAAAAGGCCGGAAGACTGAATCCATGTTTCATGTGGCGCATTTGGAGATTTTTTCTTTTACTTAAATTAATTAACGGCGGTGTAAACTGTGCTAAAAAACATGTCTCCTTATCTTCTGACAACCGTTTCGCACATGCTGCTAACTTTTAATAAAAGAAAAAAAAAATCCTATGCAGTGATTAAGTATTTTCCATGTTGACAAATCTTTTGCAATGTCCTAACAACCGAGATTAGCGCACAATGCGTCCACATCCGCTAATGTCCGATTCACGACATAACGCCTCATTTGAACCGATTCATTTTAATAAACGGTTGAAATAACTGATCTGTCCAACACTGAACTCACAAGACGTCACTGTCTGAATCGGTGTATAAGTAAATAATTTACTCAGAACACCTCAGAAAAGAGATTGCAAGTGTGATTTAGTCTCAAAAAGATTTAACCTTAATAATAATATAAGATTGAGCCTTCATAATCCACAGTAATTTTAAGCTATTTATATGACCATGTGTAGTAAATTACCTATAAAATAATTTAGTTTAGACTGGAGTGAGGTGAAACCAGCACAAAGCAATTTGTTAGCAGGCTGCTAATTTTATTCAGATGTAGCCTAAGGTAGAAAATTAGACTATTAGTTAAAATAATAATAAAAAATAAACTGTTTCTTTGCATTTATTTCAGTTATGGTCAGGCTCGCAGATCATGGGGGTAGGGTACTTTTTACTTTGTGTGTGCGTGTGGATGGCCATCAGCCACCACCGAAGACCCGTTTTGACCCAGGAAAAACCCTGTTAGACATTGCATGTAGTGTGTTACTGCAGTAACAACAATAAATTATGAATAAATAAACGCAACTCTCTCTAAACTAAACACTAATCTTAACCCTATAGTAACTGCATGCCTTAAAATAAAGCATCATTAGCTGGTTAAAAAAAATTAATTAACTGGTTAAAATGCATGTGCATGCGCTGCTAAAACTGTGAGACTAAACAATTAAATAACATGCTATTTTCCATACAAAAAAAAAAAAAAAATGTAAAAGTTCAGTTTTCAGTTACATATGTTCTAGGGATGCACCAATCTGATACTCAGTCTCTGCTCCGATTTTCTGCCGGATCGGGTATCGGTCAGACGAGACCGATCCAAATCCGATATTGTGCGTATACTATTCTGTGTTATTGTTAAGCCCCACGAAAGGCAAAAAACATAATAAAGCACCATAAAGTTCTCGTGCACTACATTCCAAGTGTTCTGAAGACGTTCCATAGTTTAATGTGAGGTACAAATGAATATTTAAGTCGTTAAATTCAAGTTAACGTAAACTCTTCTCTCCGCTGCAGCTATCGGTCTTTCTCCATTCAGCATTCAAACTGCGCGTCGTGTTCGATTACGATAGTCAAGACGATGAAAGTTTAAAACAGTTAAAAGAAAAGGCTCAAACTATTGCACAGATATAATATACTACGCATCAGTATCTCTTCTCTGTGTGCTTTGAACTCTTATGCGGAGCGCTGCGACTTTGTGTTGCTTCAAGTGCATCATTCTGCGAACGGGATGCGCATAAGCGCTTTGTGCCACTCTGTATTGAGCCTTTCGTATTTTAATACTTTTGCACAATGAAAGATTATTAATAGCCTTTCTAGTTCTGTCCTATCCATCATATTTACATTTATTCATTTAGCAGATGCTTTTATCCAAAGTGAATGTTGCTGCCTCCATTACTGTGCTATACATTTAAAAGGAAAGTCTTTTAATTTATATATACATATATTTACTTGTTATTCATGAATGTATAATTTGTTCTTAAATCATGGCCATGCTACACTTATTCATATACCTTTTTTTTGGGATAATATGCTATATATAAATACACTTTTTAATCTATATATTTTATATGTCATGTATATGGCTTTGTATATACATGAGTGTTGTAACACTTACAAAAAAAGGATCTTTGGATTTCCCCCTTTCTTTAAAAGGAATACTTAATTTTGTGGTTAATTTATATTATTATTTTTTATGAAAAACACACCAATAAAACAAAGACAAACTCATTTACATTAAACATAGAAAGTCTGCCAAATATGCTTTTCGCATCGACACTAAATCCTCTGCCAACACCTTGTCAGTCATCTGTCCTTACTGTACTCACATGATAAGTTTGTTTGCTTATTTTCTTCTTAATGCCATTCAAGCATCTATGGCTATATTCATGGCAAGAACCAGTTACTCCATACACAAGTTAATCCACACACAAGTCTGTCTTACAAGTTGGGGGGGACAATTTAGAATCTTCAATTCACCTAACCTGCATGTCTTTGGGCTGTGGGAAGAAACCGGAGGAAACCCACGCTGACACAGGGTGAACATACAAACTCCACACAGAAAGGCCTCCCGTCTCACATAAGTGAAATCTGACTCCTATATAAATTGTAGCATCCAAATGAACTAAATAGCTTTTATCTCTATAACCAATGGTGGGGGCAGTGGGAGAGTAATGTAATTGGTGTATGTTCGAACACAGACTACCCTACTGTCATTGTTTAACATTTCTAATAATTTATTAGACATAGCTGTTAAGCAAAGACAGTAAACTAATGAAGTCCAAGAATGTGATCTCCAGTTTGTCTTCGCTAAAGCGCTGGCGTTCTGAGTGCTATCAAAATAAAAGTCCTGCTTTACACTTAATAGTCAAGCAGAATAACTTATTGGCCAGTGCTGATAAATTGAAAAATGTAAAATCGGCCGATATATCAGCCGATAAGTCAGCTAATAAATATATAAATGTTTTTTGCAGTGATGCAGCACTGACCCTGCATAGAAATGCAAATAACATTGGTTTATACGGTTTTATTTCACTTTCAAAAAAAAAAAAAAAAAAAGAGTCTATGATTGTTATTACCATCAAGGCCTAAAGTTTAGGATGGCTTAGGATAAAGTTTTCCAATTACCTAGGACTTCCAATTATCTAACAACAGAAATTCAAGTACATGACATTGTACTGCTAAAGGCAGCAGAATAACTGCTATCAGCATGTCACGATGCGATAGGATTCCACTGACAAGCAATTTTATCTATTCACAGAAGACACAACAAGGTTACATCACTCAACAAAATTAATCACAAAACAAAGCCAATCAGAACAGCGTGTGGGTGGGCACTTTCTCTCTGTTAGCACTCTGTTGTCTCACTCTCGATGAAACGTATAAGTGCATAATCAAATTGATGCAACTATTTCTCCGTCTGTTTATCTGAAGATGAGATACACAAAATACTTGCAGAAGACACAACAGAGAGCACCCACTTTATTCAAAAAGATAAGAGAAATACTGACACAGACTAAATTACATCACTCTTAAATTATCATCTTACATTACTGAAAGCATAACAACTGCTTGTCCATAGTTTTGAAGCAACAGGACAGTTTAAAAATCACATTATAACTGATAAAGCACATATTAAGTGTTAACTTATGAGGCAGAATATTCTGCAGGAACAGACATTAAAGTCCTCTAAAACCATGCCAGGAAGGCATTTAATTTTTTTATACCCCACTATATGTTATAAACTCAGTTACAGTTCACAAATATCATCATTATTGTGTTATGTGAAGAATGTCAACTGAATATGGTCATGTGGACATGAGCTAGGGGAAACACCTCGTAAGTGTATTAAAGGATCATGAAACCCCGTGTTTCAGCACCGTTTAGTTCTCAACACAGGATTGAAAAATGCTACAAAAGTGGGTGTAGTAGTGGGTGGAGTGGAGGAGGAAGAGGGGAGTCTCATATATAATTTTTTTTTGAGGGGTGGGGAAAAAAATAGATTCACCTAACGATCGCGATTCTTTTTAAAACGATTTAAAAAAATCAACTGGTTTATTTCAGAATGGATTTATATTTACTTATTTTACTTTTCCTAAGAGGTGGTGGGGAGACGTTACTGCTTTTATTCCAACAGAGGGCGAAATGTATAGGTGTGTTCGACTTGAAGCAGCACCGCGCAGATGATCGGTGTATGACATCAAAGTACCGCGAGAGCGATTCGAAAGCACGCGGAGCCGTCTGCTCTCTGTAGCTCTCGCGGTGCTTTGATGTCATACAACGATTGGTCTGCGCAGCACCGCGGTGTTAGATAACGTCGTATCCATTTCAAGCCAGCACGAGAAAGCAAAACCATGACGGAGGCAGAGGATCAAACCCCTTCGAGAATTTTTTCTGCACCTTTCACGTTTTGAATCCCAAGTGTGGAAACACTATGGATTCTACACACTGCCGGGAAAACATGACTAAAACGGTATGCAAAGTAAATAACTTTTATTTCAGAGAGTATTTTTCTACTAATTTTGTTGAACATTTGACTATTATATTCATGTGCAAGTTAGCTATCTTTAATAATTATAATTCATATCCATTCATTTTCATTTTAGGCAGAACTATAGCTAAGTCTTTTGGAAATTCACCAATAATGCCATTATTGGCTTGTGCACCGCTTGAGTCATAATTTAAAATGTGTTGGGGACAGGGTTGCAAAGGGGTGGAAGTGGATTTCCGGTAAATTTACGGAAGCTTTCCAAAAATCCCTGGAATATTCCAAAAAAATCCTGGAAAGAATATTTCTGAAATTTACTGGAAATTTTCCACTTTTTTGCAACCCTAGTTGGGGATAAATCTAAGACTACATCATAAATGGGAATTGATTAATAAGCTGAGGGACTCCATACAAACTGTTGTAATGTTATGTTACCTTGTTATTAAACTTACCTTTATAGCTTTAATTGCTGATTTTGTAATCTGGGTCATCTTTGCTTTGGAGATCGGTGGCTTGTATTCATTCAGTGAGTACAGCTGAAAAACATAAAACATTGCAATTTACATTCTTTATTATCCGTTTATACCAATGTGACCTGGATGCATTCATGTATTTACACTATATATACACACTACTCAGTAGGCTAATTCATATTTTTAATAACAGACAACAAATAACAAAAAATACTGTAATTAGGGATGCACGATATATCGGCCACCATATCGGTATAGTGTTTGGGATGTGGCTTTTAATGATGAGACCTTTTTTGTAATCAGGCTCTCAAAAAGTATATAAAATTTGGATATAGATTTATCGGCCAACATATCGGTTATCGGCTTTCAAAAATAAAGAATTATCGGTTATCGGTATCGGCCAAAATTTTCATATCGGTGCATCCCTAACTGTAATACTTCAATCTTGTGCATTAAAATCTCATTGTCCTCTTTTAAGGCCGGGACACACCAAGCCGACTTCAAAGAACTAGCGGCGACGAAAGCTGACGGTGTTGTCTCCTCACGTCGGACCAAAAAGCTGCGCTCGAACACACCGCACAGACTACAGCCGACGGCAAACTAACACGTGCGTTCTGCGCATGCGTGAGAGGAATTAACTGTCTATATCAGCAGCTATCAATAGTATATATTCGTCATTCAAAAGGAGAAACCGAAACAAAGATATACGAGATAAATGCAGATATACGAAACGTAAACAAAGCAGCACTTGCTTACCATTTTGAATATCAGTAACATTGATAACTTTGATTATTTTAAGCGGCTCATGTTGTTCTGAAAACATTTGCGTATGAGAATGATTGGGAAAGATCACGTAACATTTTAAAAGCCTTCTGTCTGTACCGCCTTCAGTTACATGCTTGTTTTCATCACTTTCGCTTTAATTCTCGGGCACTGACTCGTTCGCTAAACTGAACATCCAATCAGAGCTCTCACTTGCGCCAACGGTCCCGACGCTGATTCAACATGTTGAATCGGGCAAACTGCCGCCGACGAGTGGAACACACCAAACAAACTAGCCCGACCGTCGCTCGCCGTCGGCCCGATGTTGGCCAACGGTCGACCGTTGGCTTGGTGTGTCCCAGCCTTTAGACAACAGTCTGCTTCAAGTCATTAAGATGATATGATATTATCAAAAAATCAAATGCGATTTTCATGCGTCACTGACAAGCTACACAAAATCGCGTTCATAATCGGCAATGAATCACCTGCGATTTTGAATGTGATTTTGCGTAGCTTGTCAGTGAACTACGGCTCTGTGTAGTAAATGCCGCTCCATCTGAAAGCACGTGCTGGAGATTTACTACTAATCACAGAAGCGGCTTTACTGACTAGATGCGCATGAAAATTACATTCGTTTTTTTGCACAGCCCTATATGATATACTTTTAATTTAGATTATTTTTTGCCATTTTCGCTACATGTATAGAATTCACACTGCTTAACATAAAAATACACATAATAGCTCATTAAGTGTTTTTAATTCCAATTTCAAATGCAGATAGCCCAAGTGGATTCATACAGAAAACACTTAGCTATTTAGTTATATGATATGACCTACATGAGCTAATTCATACAAAAAGTTAAGTCTATCATAAAACTGAGGTTAAAGCTATTTTACACTTTAAGATTAAGGTTTTAAAGGCTGTGTGTGTGGGGTGTGACACAACGATGTGACAGAAGAACCATTTGGGTCCCTCAAAGAACCTTTTAGTAAGCAGTTCTTAAAAGAACCATGTTTAGAACATTTTATTAACCTAAAGAACCTTTTTTTCTACTATAGAGAAACTTTTTGTGAAATTAAAAAGGTTCCATGAATGTTTTTCATAGAACTACTGATGCCAATAAAGATCAGTAGCACTTCTAATCGTCTGCTGCTAACTGTTAGCAATCCAGTTGCAAAAAACAAAACAAAAACAAAGGCCGTGTCTCAAAGCCTATTAGGAGAACCTAAAATATTTTAGGGCATCACATGCCTTTCCCGGGGCTGCAGCATTTTATGCTCATTCGAAACGCGCCTGATGCCGAAAAACGCTGTTAACTAGGGCCTATGATGCCCTAACGTTGTCTAGGTACGTTAGGCAGCTCACCAAGCAGCACATGAAGCGGAAACATTAGCGTTTGTATTAACAGGACTTCATAAATTAGGGCTAATTATAACTAAGCAATAAAATACTATAGATAATTAAATATATATATATTACTTTTAGTTGCCTGACCCGTTTTTGTCAACATGCTGAGCGCACTGATGACGAACAAAAAAAGCCAAGCTAACTAAGTTACAGTAATCTGGAGTATGAAGTATTTTATCTTTCAATGTTTAACGTGCAACGCAAAGACTCAAACATACCTAACACACTTTTAAAGATTAAATGTTGTGATTATGTAAGAAATATATGGCCTGCACCATGAAACCGGCTTGATGACAACAGCGGCCTACCCTCGAGTTTATCGTGTCTACATTCATACAAATGAATATCATACAAACCTCGCTGTTAAACACCTTGACGGCCTCCATTGTGTGGATATGATACCGTTCTTTCCAACAGATCGAAAACGTTTAGCCTCTTCGTCCCTACAGAAGGCCTGACGCATTCACGTCCTGAAGTTAGCGGTGGTCGAGATGGAGGAGGACGCTAATATGGCTGACAACGCGAAGACAAACACAGACCGAAGCATCGCTGAGTCGACTCCTCCAGAGAGATTCAAGATTCATTCGTTGGGGAAATGAACAATGCCCTGTGAATCATCTATCTCAGAGCCTGAGCTGCCCAAACTATTTAAAGGGGTCCTATTATGCGTTTTCACTTTTTCAACTTTAGTTCCAATCACAACACACACTGGCCCAGCTAACCAATCACAGCACATTTCGTATTTCAGAAGGCGGGCTTTCATTTGATGCAGGAACTATTCGAGCCGTTCATGCCAGACTGGGGAAAGAGGTGTTGTAATAATGTAAAATATGTGAAAAAGAATGTGTTTTTGTGTTTTTTACACCCCCAAAATAAAATCAAGACTTTGGAAAAGAGCATAATAGGACCCCTTTAATTAAACTGCATAAACACATTGCATTACACCAAATACACAACATAATGTTCTTTTTAGCAATGTCATATGACCCCTTTAAAAGTCTTCTTTTTTTTCTCCCCAAGAAAAATTCACGCTTCCTTGAAACTTCCACAGAGTAAAATATGTGAAAAAGAATGTGTTTTTGTGTTTTTTACACCCCCAAAATAAAATCAAGACTTTGGAAAAGAGCATAATAGGACCCCTTTAATTAAACTGCATAAACACATTGCATTACACCAAATACACAACATAATGTTCTTTTTAGCAATGTCATATGACCCCTTTAAAAGTCTTCTTTTTTTTCTCCCCAAGAAAAATTCACGCTTCCTTGAAACTTCCACAGAGTGGAGCATTTCTGCCATAACATTCATTAACTAGAGAAAAACAACATGTCAACTCCTCCCTCTTTTTCATGCCTTCAATCATACATACATACATGAATTTATTCATTCTTTAATAAATTAAGAAATAAATTAAATTAAAAGGCAAAAATCAATGTTGCTGTGAGGCACTTTGAGTGGAAGTAAATGGGGGCGTATTTTTTAACTATTTAAAATCAGAAATGTCATACCTGGTTAAATTAAATTAAATTAAAAATTGTAAATAAATAAATATCGCGGTGAGGCACTTTGAGTGGAAGTAAATGGGGGTGAATTTAATGATTTAAAAACAAATGTCATGCCCATTGTTTTCGAAAAAAAAAAAGAAAATAAACAGAAATCTGACAAAGTTGTGTTATAATCACTCTACAGTGAAACACTGTAACAAAAAAAACAACAACAACAAATCAACTAGTCCCTCTTTTTCATAAATAAATAAATAAAGTAGGGTTCCTCAAACATACAAGAGAGCCTTACAAGCGAAGCTGTAATAAAGTTGATAATATTAAAAAGTGTTGAAGTTGATCTTTCATTACTGATGTAAATGTTCTAAGTTAATTCTCTTTCAGTGCTTACAATAGTGTTTCAATATAAACACTTATGCATTAATAAAGAAAGAGATGTTTTAAAGTTAAGTAGGAGTACAATATTTTTTGTGATGGGTGTCAAACTGTAATAAAGTTGAGAAATAATACTAAAAATGTTGAAGCTGATCTTTCATTACTGATGTAAATGTTCTGTTTCACAAATGCAAAGATACTGAGGCAAAATATACAGAAAGATTTAGACATCAACACTCATCAAACAAACCACAACAATGGTGACAAACATTAAACTAATTCAGATAAACAGATCAACTGCAATGCATGCTGGGAGGAGTCATGAATGAGTTTTGTACTATGTTGATACCCAGCATGCATTTCAGCATAAAATTTTCTTTTGTTGATTGTCACCATTGTTGAGTTCCATACACTGATTCTTGATGTCTAATTGATTCAGCAATTTTATGAGTTATTTTTTTTGTATTGTCTGTTAATTGATAGACGTATGATAGCCATACCACTGCTTTAATTTAACTGTAGTATCACACATTATTCACACATAAAAAACACAGCAATTATTTAAATAATCATACAACAATGATAACAGTCACCATCACCTGATCCCAATGGATCTTAGTTTTCGTTGCCTCAACAAATGTATTCTAACACATTTTTACAAGTGACAATGAAAACCTAACATTAAAGTACAAAGAATCAAGAGCCCAACTAAAGCAAATGCTGATCACAATGATGGTATTCTATATAAAAAAGTATTCTCGTAGCTTCGTAACTTTACAGTTGAACCACTGATTTCACACGGACTACTTTGTTGATCATCTTGGTATTTTTCTGGACCTTGAACGTGGTAGTTACCTTGCTGTCTATGGGAGGGTCAGAGAGCCCTCAGATTTCATCAAAAATATCTTAAATTGTGTTCTGAAGATGAACGAAGGTCTTACGGGTTTCGAACAACACGAGGGTGAGTAATTAATGACAGAATTGTAATTTTTGGGTGAACTAACCCTTTAAAGGCTGTGCATATGACTCCTATCAAAATGATGTTACATTTTTTAAATACATTGATCAAAATGAATATGAATAAATGATCAGATTGTGCATTTTTAGCATTTCAGGTATTGTTATTAAAGGTTGTACATATAAATCTTATCAAAAATCCATTCGAAAATAGCTCGTATTAAATCTAACAAAAGAACATGCATTACGCTACAAAACTGGTGTGACTCGAAAAAGACCAGATCCGCCCTAAACCATATATGGTTCACCTCACTTCTGGCCTGAAACGGGTGACCTGGATCGTGTGTGCTGCGGGGCTGCAGCTGGATCTCTGGTTGCTTGCTATTAGGGTGGGTCCTCCTCGGCTGTGGAATCATGCATGCATACTTTGAGCTAATATTTTTGGGTATATATTACTTATTTTTTTTGTTTTGCAGTTATTACTGTAAACAAATAGGTAGTGTAAGTAGAATTTACCCATTATTATATATTTTACTTGCTAACTAATATATTTAAAGGCACAATATGTAATTTTTCGCTGCTAGATGGCGCGTATTCAACACAAAGATACAAAGGCGTAGTTTGATGATGCAGTGACTGAGTGTGGAATCATGGGAATTGTCGTCTTCATCCCCACAGCCGAAGCAATCCGACGGGACTCGGGCAGAAAACATGTTCATGGATGAGCTAATGTATTAAAGATTTATTAACGTCGTAGTATGAAGCAGGGTGAGGCTGAAAGACGTCGAAGCGAAACGAGGCTGCTGAATGAGCGCAACACACGGCTCGAAAGCAGCGGAGCTTTTATTATGCCACAGTCGACTGCTTCCGCTCCTTCCAGTTAGAGACCTGCACTCCCGCGGGAGTAACGCGGGACTCGCGGGACCCAACGAATCAGGGTGCGGCGCGGGACAACTCTTGATGGGTGAGTGCGGGAAGAGACTCGTGTGTGTGCTGGATGCAGGAGAATAAAATTATTCGCGGGACTCCCGCAAAATAGAAATTATCTAAACATAAAGTGTTTAAAACATATAAATTGTAAGTTATCTGTTGCACAAAAGCAAAAAGAACAACTAATATTAACATTAAAATGATTGACATGCTCAAGCTAGGCATAGTTTCTATTTATAACACGGTTGCGCAATGTAGCCAATCACAGACTCAGCTGTTGATTTCTGGAACGCAATGGCCAATCAGAGGTGATTAAGTAAGAATCTACTCACCACAGTGCTGAAATTGCGTGCTCACGAATCCTCTCATTTTAACACACGAAGTGTCAATATGTAATTTTCGCCGCTAGAGGGTGCGTATTCAAAATAAACAAATAGACAAAGGCATAGTTTGATGACGCTGTGACTGAGTATGGAATCATGGGAGTTGTGGTCTTCATCCCCACAGCCGATGCAATGCGACGGGACTCAGGCAGAAAACATGTTCATGGATGAGCTAATGTATTAAAGATTTATTAACGTCGTAGTATGAAGCAGGGTGAGGCTGAAAGACGTCGAAGCGAAACGAGGCTGCTGAATGAGCGCAACACACGGCTCGAAAGCAGCGGAGCTTTTATTATGCCACAGTCGACTGCTTCCGCTCCTTCCAGTTAGAGACCTGCACTCCCGCGGGAGTAACGCGGGACTCGCGGGACCCAACGAATCAGGGTGCGGCGCGGGACAACTCTTGATGGGTGAGTGCGGGAAGAGACTCGTGTGTGTGCTGGATGCAGGAGAATAAAATTATTCGCGGGACTCCCGCAAAATAGAAATTATCTAAACATAAAGTGTTTAAAACATATAAATTGTTATTTATCTGTTGGGGATGGATGTTTGCTTCAAGTGATAGGCCAGGTAAGTGAAATTATATTATCTTGCTGTATGTGTGTCGTTTTCTTTATGTTTTCTGACTAAAAGCAACCAAAAAGCCATTTTAAAGTGGTTAAGCAAATTATAATAATAATGATCGGCAGGGATCCCAGACCAATACAATTAGTGTGCCTCCTCTATTTTAAAACCCATGAGCCGCCACTGCTACTTACAGTCGTGCGTATGTGGGGTAAAGCAGCACTGTTTTATCATGCTAGATACATTTGAACGTTCTGTTATAATTCTACTCTGTGCGGTCATCACCGGTCTATTGAAACGCACAACATATAAAAGCGTCTTTGGTGTTTCCATGTTTTCTACAAAACAAAACCGGAAATTGAGGGGTTATGACGTCATTGGCATGCGACACAATGACACTATAGACACGGTCTGTGTCACTAGTTAAAATTGCTTATTTCTCTGGATTTAAACATTCTTCGAAACATTTGGGATAATGTAAGTACACAAGTCAGCAAAATATATAACACAGTTCTAGTGGTTTTTGGATATTTTAATAAAAAAATCTTAGATATTGTACCTTTAAGTACAATCTAACTGATTTTCATGGGTTGTATTTAACACTCCCAAGATAATTTTTTTTTACAGTGTAACACAACACGGTGTCTACACCGGACGCGAGTGGTGCGACAAAATACAATAGAACCTATTGACTGGATGCGGCGTGACAAATTCCCGACAGTAAACTGCTGCTGCGGAGCTAACATGAACTAAGACTTGTATTTTTTTAACAAAGATTAATAACTGCTCATTGTGAATGTTAATGCATTAACTAAGGTTAACTAATGAGGTCTTATTGTAAAGTGATACCTATTGGTCTTTATAGT